AATATATATATTATATATATTAAATTTTTTTTTTTATTATTTCATTATATATATTAGATATCTAAACACAGAGTAAGTTACAGAAATTCTCACACCCATTTCAAATTCATGCTAAATTCTTCTAAATCCACTTCAAATAGTTACTATTGTATGATTGCTATTGCTATTGAATAAAATCAAATGTTAAGACAAACTAGGTTCAAAAATATTTTAATTTCTAAATGTAACAAATTTCTGTGATACAAATATCTTTATAATCTTTTTAATTCTATAACAATTTTCTTTAGTTCTGGAATTTAATAGCTATATAATTTTGATATTGGTATTATACCAACAAAACAATGTCGAAATTGTCTATCAAATAAAAAATATATTACCAAATTATATATTATATATATATTATCAAAAACTAAAATAAATGCCGGTATTATTTCAATACCTTGTTTAACTTGAGGATCGATCTTCATTTATTTATTTTTAGTTGTTTCCCTTTCTGTTATTTTATTATAGTATAACTTATACTTGAAAGAAATTTAATTTTTCTTAATCCCTATTTAAAAAATCTGGAAAATTTTGTAATGAAACAGAAAAACCAAAAATTTACCAGTAAATATATCAGTCTATATATACATATATATATATAGCTTCTTTTTCATTCCTCTATTATTGCTTACTGTACACCAAATTATTATTCTGCAATAAACTTTATACCAATTGAAAGCTTAGTTTTTAGTTACTATTTAATTCTCAAATTAATTTAAAGAGAAAAATACTTCTGTAACCCACTGTGATCTACTTATACCTCATGTTAACAATTTTTTATCTAAAGATTCAAACTATTTATTGTGCTTCATGCTTCATTGTGTAATTTTTATTTAATAAATTGGTTTAAATAATAAATTAATAAATTACATAACGGTACAATAAAATATTGTAAAAAATGAGATATTCATACATGAAAATATTCAATGCTTACATTTGCTACACCTAATAAGTAAAATATGAACATTAAAGCAAAATATTTAAAATTATAACATTATTAATAACATTTGCTACATATAACAAGAAGAAAGTTCTAAAATTATATCAGTAAAATTAGAATATAATTCAACGATATATTCAATATCTACAGTACAGATAATTCAAGAAAATATTCAATGAAAAATCACCTTACGGCTACTCCTAGAAACAAAGGGTGCCTTAATATAATATTAAAAATTTTTATTTTTCAGCTAATGGTGCTTTCGAGTAATATAATAAATTTCTATTTGAGTACTTTTGTAATCCACCAACATGATTTTAATAAATATACTGTAAATATTGTACACATTGTTGACTTATTTTGTAATATTACTAATATAATTTTGAGATTTTCCCCTTTTTACATGTAACATATTGTTTTAAACATTTTATCTTTGCATATGTATTTTATTTGTTGAATACAGCAAATATAAACATTCAAATGTTTATGCTGAGAGTTCTAAATTTATAATGAAGAACTCTTCTGCAGAAAACATTAGCTATATCACAGCATTCAATCTATTGGTACACACAAATTATCATTACTGTTCTACAAATTTACTATTTCATGTACACTGAATCACTGTAAAAATATTTCATTTGTTAGATATAAAACTTAAAAATATGTGGATTAACAAAGAAATTTACATTGATTAATATATCACAAATTTTAAATAGAGATTCAGGTAAAGGTGAATTAGAAGATAACTTCTTTTAGTAAACAATTTTAATGAACATAAAGTTCCTGAAGACGTATTAAAAAATGTATGACATCCCTTACCTACGAACATAATGACAGTTTTTCAAACCAGAAAGTAAGATGTAGTTTTTAAAATATAAGAAATGTTTTTATATTTACATCTAACGTTTCTGTTAGATATGTAATCAAACTACAACATATTTTACATTATGTGTTGACGATGATATCCACCATTTATTTGCATACCAGCAGTAAATGTGTTAAGCAGTTTTACAGATGGATACATGTCATGGGTACAAAGTTACACAGGTCAATGTAGATAGATCAATATAGATTAAACATGATTTCCTCAAAACTAAGTTTCCAAACAAAAAACTATTATTTTTACTTATACAATAACCACCTTCTTGATTGTACCACCTGTCCTGAGACACCCTATATATATATATATGACAATTTTATGTATTAGATGAAATGAAAAAGAATAAATAATATTATTTATAAATACGATTAATAAAATATTTTCTCATTTTCTACTAGCAAGAGTAGTGAGAAATACATTGGAGAAATTAATCATGATAGAAAGTAAACAAATAAATAATATTGGATACACACATTATAAATAAAATTTTAAGATACGTAATGCAGACTAGGTCATCTGATATTACGTTGATATACGTCGATTTACATCGATATTATTATGTAGAGAAAAATTAGACTTTTATAGGTAAACATGCTTTAGGGATTTGAAGATAATTTTCTAATCCTTCCCTGACTGGTGAAAGATATTTCTCTCATTTGAATAATCAAATTATAGATGACATCTATAATCAACAGATCACTCTTTATGAAAAAAATTCTGACATGTATTTCTTATATATAAATATTCGAATTATATGTGATATGCTTAATTTTATTTTCTTGTATAACATTTATACTGACGAATTTTTCATGCGTTTTCTATACATTTTCGTCCTATTATTACATACTTCGATATTCCTCTTTTTTACTAGACGAAATACAATTTATGAAATAGGTAGTTTCATACATATGTTCTCCCACACTTCAATGATACTTTCATTATATTTCATAATTCCAATTGTACTAAAATGCACAGTATGTTGTATAGTCATACAGTTTACAAAATAGTTATAACTATGTATGATCCTATGCTTTGAAACGTCTTATGAAAAGTAATTCCTCTGTAAAGGCACTTATAGGAATATATTAGTTTCAATAAAAATAACTGTTATAAATATTTTTGTTGTCCAAAATCAATTCCCTATTCTTGTTAAAAATTAAAGAGGCAAGTACTTCTGGTGTAAGATTTTTTAAAACTAGAACTTAATTTTAATCAAGTACTCCATATTTTACAAATAATTATTCTATAGTCGTAACTAAATATTTTTTCACTCTGCTTATATTTATATTTGATAATTATCATAATATTATTTATTATTTATTTTATTTACATGTTACCATTGAAGGCTTGATCTCTTTTTATACTGAGCAAAATTTATTTTATGTTTTAATACATTTAAAATTGTTTTTTACAGCTTTTTAAATAAATATTTAAATAATACAAATTACTTACATTGTATTCCCCAAAAAAGCAATCCTTTCAATTTCTGCTAAAAGAAGTTGTGTTTGTCCCAGTCTTACATCATTTCGTCTTGGATTATATAGTAGATGAGTTGTAGCAATCACTAATTGTATTTCAGGATTCTTTTTAATTGCCAGTTTTGCAATAATTCCAACATTATCTCTATTCAGTAATTTTATACCCGACTGATAAAGCTCAACTTTTGTATAGTCCATTAAAATAAGCTGATCAGAACGGTATAGAAACAACAATCCATCTTTCTTATCATGTGTTCGTTTTTTGTACAAGTAATTAAAACCCAATTCCATGAATGGAATCAAAAATTCTTGCAAATGTTCTTCTTGCATTTCTTGAAGACAAATTACCTGGAGAGTCATATAAATTTTTTAAATATTCTTATATTTAGTGTTACTTTGTATTAAAAAATAAAATTTTGAGATTTGACTATATAACCAAATTCAAAAAAATTATAGTACATTCGTAATTTTTAATTGTATAATCACAAATTTTCAATTTGAAGCTAAAAATCTACTTTTTATTAGCTGAAATTAAATATTTACTCAATATTATTTTTCATATTTAGTAATACTCAATAATATTCAATAATATTTTAATGCTTCTGGTACAAATATTTTTAAATATATTTGTAAAATATTAATATATAATAATACTATATTATATTTTATTATATAATTCAATAATATAATATATAGTATTATAGTATTTACTATTACTATCCTTTAATGATGACTGTCTATTCAATAATGTTATATTTAGATTAAAAGATTATAAACTTTATGTTAAAAAATAAACAATAAAATGAAATGAAAACTTAATTTCCTAATAAGACAAATATATAGAGTGTCATGTAATTGGCAATACAATCAAGAAGGTGGTGATATTACATAAGAAAACTGAATGAGAAATATAGAATGAAAGTCCTTCACAAAAATTGTAGACCTTATTTTTGACAAAAAATAAATAATATCTCTAAACATTTATTAGATATGTATAAATAATGTGTACTTAAATAAATCTCGAACCAATGATCATCGAATTAATATTTTGTAAACATCAACTGGATCAAATGATAAGAGCACAAAATGAAGTAAAGTATTTACTTTTTATAAATTTTTTTAATGTAAAAGTTAAGAATAAGGGCTGTTATTGTATACATAATTGTGTTCTTATTAAATTTCTACAAACGTTTTCTGTGGTGCTACTTCATTCTTCAAACACTATAATTTTTTCTTTTAATTTTCCTTCGGTATATCAACGCTATGCATAATAAATTTTACATGATCCCACAAATAAAAATCTAGCTATGATAAGTCTAAATATTGTGGTTATCAAATTATTCTTCAATCACAGTCAATTTAGAACTCTCTTATTCTCTTTTCAGACATTTCATTTGTTTTAAACTAATTCCTTCCTTTTTCAAGTTCTCAAGGAACACTCATTTTTCATCTGTTATTAACATTCATTTAAGAAATAATTTCATATTGTTATGATATAAAAGTGTGTAATCTGCTATCATGAGATCCAAGTGATTTCACTTTGTAGAGAACATATAGCTTCCAAATTCATTTCAAATCTTCTGTAGTTATTATGTACAATCATTTTTAGTTAATACACTAAGAATTCCATAAACTTAAATATTACAGATCATATACACTAAAGAATGAAAAATATTGTTATCTATCACAGATGGTCTTCATATGCACTTAAAATATAGCACTTTCACCATATACACTACAAATATACTTTGTACTTTCTGATGCAGTAGATCCTTTTTGAAACTTGTACAACATATTGTGATAGAAATAAACATATTTTCACTCACAATTTTCCACTTATATCTCTTACAAATCATCAGAAATTTCACTATTTATTTGTAAACTGATATGTAAACACTTTAATACCTGACAGATTACATGACCTCACTATATTCATCACTTATACTTGATCAGCTAAATCTTTGGCCTCTAGTACAGACAAAATTTAAGGTAGACTTATCACCTCATAAGTTCTTCATGTCCTACAAGCTTATAATAAATATGTATTGTATAAAAAATTAAATGCGTTGTTCTACATTTTGCAATTGGAGAAAATGACTATAGGTATTAAAAAAAAGAAATGAATGAAATATACATATATCTAACATTTTACCAATGTCAAATGTATAGCAATCAAAATGCATTCTAGAATGGTTTCACAATTCTTACTATTTCATTACTATTGTATCATGAGGACTAGTGTAGATAAACTACTATTAGCCAAAAATATTTGATTATTTCATTGAAGCTTTGAAAAAATACTAAGTAAATTTTGTGTAAAATTATGTTTATAAACAGAAATTACATCTAAACTAAATTTATTTTTTATAAACATTTACTACTTTATTTTTTCATAATGTACAAAATTATTTAAATGGAATAGAATATATAAGAAAAAAGTTTGTCTTTTGCATTTGCAAATATGTACATATGTAACATGCAAATATGTAACATCAAATGAAAGTCACAAAAGTAATCAGTCATTTATTAGTATAGTATATAAGATAGAAATTGAAACATAAATTGGAATACTTTGTTAGATATTTTTTAAATTCTATTACAACTTTCTATCTGGCACTGATTTATCAAATTTGCTAATGATTTCAACATTTATATTATCCTATTCATCTTAAAGATAGTTTCTGAATGTAGTCATATGAAATGTTATATCACATGAAGATGTTTCATGGAATTAAAATAACAAATTTTCTAAAATTAACTATATAGTTCAAATATAAAATTACTCTCTCAGTCCAACTTTTCCACACTTATTCTTAAAAAAATTCTTCACTTTAGAAAAATCATGTGTAATATTCATTTCTTTCAATAAGATTTATAGTTTTAACACTATTTTTAACATTGCTTTACTATTAAAACTAAATAATTTTTATTAATTTCTTGTCTTAATTTTTTTCGCATGATTTGTTTTTTATTTATATATAAAAAATATCATATTAACACTTGTTGTTAAAAAGTACTTTATTACAGAACTTTTGTGATTTATTTTTTTGTTTTTTAATAAATTTGAATCTCGTCTATCTGTTTTAATCATTAATGAGCAGCTTTCTTTTTGCCACTTGAGCATTTAGACCATTTTTTTATATAGTACACCATATTGATTCGGTATTTAAATATCTATTTATAGAAATTACTTATACTTTACTACATAATTCTCAAATACTAATTATTAGATCCTTCTGCACAGGAATCCGAATTTCCTCACTCATTAATTAATATCATCAGTCATCTACTACAATATTCATTCTTATACTATACAATTTGTCATTGTGTGTGACCTTTTTATTTATGTCATTTTTGTACATAATATGTAATTAATAATATCTTTGATGTATCTGAAAAGTTTACTTCAAGAATCAAAAACAAAACACTATTGTAAATAACATTTTTCTTGAAAATTTAATTATTTATTTAAATACTTTTGTGGATATCATTTCATGTTACTCCTTTAAAATATACATTCTTTTCTTATATATTTTATTTCACTTGAAAGATTAAATATGTCATACAAGACAGAATAAACTAATAAATTTATATTAAAATTAAATTCTGATTCAATGATCTATTTGCACACCTATAATTTTAGATAAAATTTGCTTGATACCTAAAGTGGACCTTAATTCCTTATAGTAAACTCTATGTGACATTGTTACTATTTTGCCAATATTATTACTAACATTACTATATAATTCAGCAGACTTGTATTTTTAACAATTATTACCGTTTATACGACCGATTATAAGCCCTTGGGTAATAATTTATTTCTCAGATTGTTTATAAGCAAATGAATATTTTTAAAAACGCTTTTCCAAAGGAAGTAGATATATTATTATTTACATCTTCAGAAAACTCTTTTGTTCTCTATTTATATTAATGCATTTAAAAATTATAGATAAATGTTTATTTTGCTATTCTGTACATAATATTCTGTACATACATTATCTAGTTTGTAATTTCCTTAATAATTGTATTAGATTAAGAAAAGCTTATTTATGAACAGATTTATTTTAGAAAATTTTAACTTCTTTTGCATAATTCATTCAGAAATAGGTATCACAATGAATCATTAAATATTATCTTGTACATCAATTCACATAAAATGTCAAAACTAACAAAAAAGCTTATTTAAATAAAATTTCCACTTTCTACCCAAAATTGATTCACACGGCAATCTTTTACAATTTAATTCCATGTAAATTTCCAAATAAACAATATGCAAAAAATTAACATGTTCTTAACTAAATTTTAGTGAATATAATATCTCTTTTACTTTTAACTAGTTTTAACTTGTTAACTAGACAATTACAAAATAGACATTTAATTATAATTCATATATAATGAAAATAATTTTTTATTTTAAAAACAATAAAATGACAGAAAGTAATTATTATATCAGATTAGGATTTGTTTTAAAGCAAGTAATATTTGAGTCTGATCTGTGAGTGAAAGATCAGAATAATTATTTATTAAGAACATCTAATTACTTACCATAGGAAATTATAATTTTTATTCTCCTCACAGAAACTTAATTAAATTATTGTATATGGATTATTCGTGTTTTTCTAACATGACTAAGTCCAAAGACAACATTATTCAAATTATGTTAAATTATATATAAATTTAAATAACCTTCAGATATTTAGAAAAATCATGTGTAAAAAATGTTAATAAATTTTCATTTTGTAGATCATTAGCAAAAATTTATATTTAAAAATCTGAAAATATATTATATTTCTTAATGATTAGCCTACAACATATTAATTGTGTTGTTATGGCTGGTTGATTTTGTCTCTAAAAATTCATTTAATTAAAAATTGTTATTTCAATTGATGTATAAATAAATATTAAATAATGTAATGATATTTTTCAGATTTTCAAAAATGTCTTACTAGAAATAGAAATTGCTAGAAAATTGCAAAGTAAAAATTAATTTGGAATTTTTTAAAATAGTATGAATAGTTTTTGCATTAAGAAGTAATTATTCATAAAATTCAAATTCTCCTAAATAAAAAAAGGAAAAATTTATTCATTTGATTAATAATTTCAGAAATAAAAACTTGTTTATGGAATCAAAACACATTAAAATTATATAAAATTAATAACGTAATATTGTCCTTTTATATAGAACAATTTGAATAAGAGTGAACCATTATTATAAAATTCTATACTTCATTTGTGATTATAAAATATTGTACTGATTATCTTATTTTTATAAGATGAGTTTCATAATTATATGTAATCTTAATACCGTTTACCACGAATCATTAACGTTGGAAACGATAATAAAATTAAAATTAAAATGCTTATAGGACAAAAAATTCAATGAATAATAGGTCTATCTTACAGCTTATCTGTACTAGTGTGGTATAGAAATATAGACAAAATTATTTAAAAAACTAACATTAGCTTGTGCTGCTAAAATTTCTTGTAATAGAAGCTGTCTTCTAATTTGCCAAGACAGTGCCTGTGGGTCATGTTCCTTGTATAGAAATGGATATGTTTCCAGTAGATACTGTGCCAAAATATTGAAGGATAATACTCTCAAAATAAAACATTCTTCAGAATTAGAATCTAGTTTGTCTGGAAAAAATTATGCAATAATGATCAAATATTTCTATTTAAAAAATAATCTTTATTTAATATACCACTTACCTTTTTTAAAACGTTTCCATTGTCTCATTGCTTTATATCTCTGTTTATCAATCATATACTTGTCCTTCAAAACCATTGGAGTTTCAACATTTGTGTTTGTGTCAAGAACAATTGTTTGCATATTACTTTCACATGTTAAATTTTCTGATTGAAATGTTAATGGAACTTCATAATTATTACTAGGATTGTAATATGTTTTCACGAAAGGTTCCATTGGTGTTTGATTTAAATTTTGTTGTACAGTTGAATTTGCGATTCCTCCCATTAAATTGTAACAAAATAATCTCTCAGATATTGAAACACTTTTATAAAAATTTCTCAAAAATACTTGTTTTACCGCTAATCCGGACATGCGAAAAAGTGGAAATGGAACAATATCATAGTAATGATGCTGTAAACACAATAAAAGCATTCTTAGATAATTGATAACCTTTAAAGTTTTAATATAATTTACACTACTGTAATTTGAATACATTGACAATAAATTCTATTAACTTTAAATACAATTTATATTTATGATATCAATATAAGTTTTGACTTGCATTTCATTATCTTTTTTATCTATTAATGTATTTATAATAATTTATGAAATGATATCATAAACAGTTACAAATAATTAATTCATTTTCTATAACACAATAATTAAAAACAATTCAATATAACATGAAATTATAAATTAGTAAATAATATAATTATACTAATTCAATATAATTTCTATATTACTAACAATGTAGTCATTTATTCCTGTTTCTTCACAATATTTTTTGACTTTATGTACCCTGTTAAAATAAAATATATAAATATTATTTAAGAAGATTATAATGTGAATTAGAGATTATACATTTTTTTAATTGAATAAAATACCACACATTTTTCAATAATTTGATAATATGCAACAGATTGATAATATATTCTTGCCAAAGTAAATAAATCTTTGTAATACACACATAAAAATGTAACATTTGTATAAACGTTCAATATTGTTTTATAGTATGAATTATATAATTTTAATTTTAAGATGACTATAAAAATAAATAAAAATATTTTATAACTCAATTAATTTTTGAAGTCAAAATTTATAATAAATATATAATACTAATATTAATAATCATGCTAAAATAATTATTAAAACTATTTAAAATACATATTGATAATTTCATTATAACATATAATGTAATGTAATATATAACACAAAACACATTTTCGAACTTTATAAATGAACTTAAATGTTTAAATATATATTCATTCAATATAACATCATTAATTGATATGAGTGACAAATATATGATTGTTTATATTTGTGGTGTATTTTTTAATTTCAGAACAAAAGCTTCATAAACATATTCTTAATTGATGCATTTGTTCTCTACTTAACAACTTTTCAATTATTTTGAATTATATTCAAAATAACTTTCAAATTATATCATTTGAGCATAAGAAATGTATCATATGTTTAATGAAAAGATTAAATAAAATAATAATAAAGACAATAAATATGTGTTAAGTAATCAAGCACAAACAAATAAAAAAATAAATAAATATACATATTTATGTTATATAATATATAATATATTATTTGTTTATATGTAATATATCATAAATTTGTACTGAAATTTAAGAAAGAATTAATTTTTGATTAAGAGAAAATTTATAAAGAAAGTTCTTGTTTCTATACTAATGCTATAGCCCTAAATATTTTGGAAATATTGTTTCAATTTATGACATATTTTATATTTTTATAGAAAACAAGAGTTAATATTTATCTAAAAATATTAATGAATTAAATATGTAAAATTGTGAATAAATTCCAGTAACAGATATAAAGAAGGAACACTTTATGATATAGTTTGACATTAATTCTAAGTTTCATGAAATATTGTTCTATTTTGCAGAAATAAATAAAAAAAATTTATTTATTTATGTAAGTCAATTTTTTAAGTCATTTTTTATTGTTTTTTTAAATCTTATTGTAACGGATTGCATTTTAGTTATTCTATGTAATAATTAATTTTAATTTATATAAAATAATTAATTAAAATGTTATTTTAAAATTAAATTTATACAGTTGCTTAAAAAACTGATAAAGATATGTTCTAAATTGAAATATATTTTTATGTGATACTGTTTTTAATAGTGATTAACAATATTTTATTTATTAATTGCAACAAACAATTGCTTTAAAGTATTATATCTAATTTTATTAGAGTATACAATTTTATCAGAATACATAGAAATTTAAATATATATATTTATTTTCATATTAATATTAGCTATCGTTAAAGAATATAAATTTTTACAATATATTTAGTAAATTAAATAAACAAAATATTGCTAACTAATCTTGACTTAATAATGCATTCAACGTTATTGTAATATAATAAATATCTTACATTATCAAATCTAATATTTTTTATATGAAATAAATAATATAAGCTATTTGCTAGTAATAACTCATGATTATTCATTTCATAATAATACTTTTGACTGTTTCAAAATTGTAATACAAATATAATCTATACATTATATCTTACAAATATTTCTTGATAAAATTGTTATCAATTGGTGTTAGACTTAACAGAATTAAAAATTTCTTTTTTGCATGAAATGTTACTTTCCAAATGTCCACTTATATTGTCCAAATCATTAAGGAAACATTATATACTTTGCATTAAATATTATTGTATTTAATGATACAGTTTAAAAATACTAAATATTACAAATTTAATTTATTCTTCCTGGAAAAAATATTTCTTGTAATCTTTCATTAAACATTAAAAAATTATTTATATTACTTCAAACTACAGTTAATAAATAAAATTCATTCTACTAAAGAATCTCACTGGTTAATATTAACTGTATTATTTCATTTTTGCAGTATTTTAAAATACACATGTCAAAAGAATTATTTATAAGTTTTTTTAATATATATTATAAATAGATATTAAATAGTATAATAACAAAAATTATTATTATTTAAAATTCATAATCAAATTGTCATGAGTTTACATTTGTATGATTATGTTAATTCCTTGATCAAATATTTTTGTCTAAACTCAACTATGCAATTCAGTATGCTATTATATTATCATTAAAAATATTTGTGATTCAAGCATAAATTAATAAAAATATGTTTATGCTGTGTAATAAATATCAGAAAGTATAAAAAAATAAATGCTAATGAAATATGATAAATTTTATAGATAAAATACACACATAAATGGAACATTATCACAATTAAAAATAATAAGTTTTCAAAATTGTATAATATAAAAACAAAAAGACATATATGTAATATTATAATTATTATCAAAATGAAAAATGTAGATTAATATATAGAAATAGAAAAAGTAAAAAAACAAATAATATTATCGTACCTCGGATTTGTAACGAAAAAGTTTGAAGATGTCAAGTCTTTCAGTGTAAATTTTCCGTAGCAACTTGCTTGCTGTATATTGATTATATATCAAGTAGTGGGGATATTAATGCATAAGTATACGCAGGTGCATAGGTTAGGTTATGTCATCTGTTGTCACAAAACGTAGAGATATATCCCGTAGTATAATACAGATAACGTTGTCATGATGTACAATAGACAATTGATATAATAGTCAATTTCAAAATTTCGTAATTATCTGATTGTATTTAATATTTATACATTGATAAACTGTACATTAAAGAATTGAATAACATTATAAAAGATATATTAAAATTAAATCTTGAAGAAGAAAAGAATTTATTTATATGTTCAATTTAACACAAACTTTTAATAGTTATATAATAATTTTTTACTTTAAAAAAAAATTTACAGTTTATTACGTCAACTTAATTGTGTAATAATTTTCACGAAATTCAAAACTTTGTAAATAATTATACATATTTATTTAATCAATTTACTATTATTTAAAGAAAATGTAAATATATGTCATCATTTAATAAATAATTTTATATTACTTTACGTAATTTAATTTATGAATATAAATAATGAAACTTTTAGGAATATGGACTACAATTAATTATCATGTTTGTTATAAAATATAATTGATATACCTAAAGTACTCATTTATTAAGGTATTTATTATAGAGGCATGTTTATATAACTAATTTGTGATAATAGTTTAATTATTCTAAATATTGCTTTCATTTAATTGTACTTTTATAACTTATAGTTTTGAATATAGTTTTTATCAACTACCAATTGGAATATTATTAACTAAGATATTCAACTACTCATTTTGAAGTTCATTAAAATTTTTGAAATATTTTATATTTTCTTAATAAAAGACTAAATCTTTGATTAATTATAAATTGAAAATTATTATTTTATAAATAATGAATATTGTATTAATTACTTTTGTAGGTGATAATAGTATATAACATGAAAAAGAGTAGAAAAATTCAAAAGGAATTAAAAAATACAATTTCTGAAATTTCTAAATTATCTATTTTTCACTATTCATAAATACATAAATATCTCTATCTTATTGATTATAGTAATTACACAATAATAGCAATTGGAAAATTAGCTACTATCTTCTACAATGACAACAAAATATCAATTAATTTAAAATTATTCAAGATCATATATATTGTTGTCAAATAGTGTTATAAGTTATAATAGAATACAATGTTTTAACTGTATTATTTAAAAAAACTTGTATTTGCTTGTAAAATAACATCTTATTAATAATTTATAATGACTGGAGAAATAACATTGAATATAAATATTTATACACTACAAAGTTTTAATAATTAAAATTCTTATAATAGACTAAATTGTCAAGATAATATTATAAAGTGCAAAATCAGGTTACATAGGTAAAAAATAATCTAATCATACACATTGGAACTGAAATACCATTTATTATAAACACATGTCACAAATAAATTACAAAAATGTACAAATGCTTAAAAGTAAATGATACATGTAATTCATTTATATAATATAATAGATTTAAAAAATAATAAACCAGTTAATAGTCCAAATTTGTTTAATTAGTTCTGTAAAATAATTGAGTATAGTTATTAATGGATAGTAATAATAGTAATAGTAATTGATTTAAATATTAAAAATTAATTAATTATAAAATAAACTTAGAAAAATTATTAAAAGAATTAACAAAAAATATTTAAACAAAATTTTGTTATTATTAAAAAAATAAATATAGGTATTATTAAAAAG